CCCCCCCCCCCAGATGAAAGAAGCTAACGAAGACACAGGTTATGGAGATGGTCCACTGAAATCAGTGCGCAAAAGAAGAATACGGAAGGACTAAGTTACTTCCACCTAGTATTTTTAGATCTAGATGATAGTAACTTTTGCTATGGCACCTCAGTGGGCCTTGACAGCAGGCACGTTCCTGAGATTTGAAGGAAAAAAGGGGGGCTCATTGCAACTTAAGTTCCTATTTGAATTCTCTAATCTCTTTAACATTCCTTGATTCCTTTTTTTTTTTTTTTTTTAATTTATTTTAAGGAGAACTATCTGTGAGGAGTTGTCTGTTGTTTTGAATTCAGAATAAATGTGAAATTAGAAGTTGGTCAACTGATCTTAAGGTGAAAATCCTTAAGATTTGAAGGTTCCTAGAAATTAGTATTAGTTGGAGATAAACTTACTCTAAATATTTTTAAAAGTGAATAAATTATAATATTTTTGCAGCTCTAGCACAAAATTAGTGGTTTACACTTTTCAGCTAAAAAGGGATGATAGTACAGATGTAGCATCTGTACTGGTTCATGTTGCTATGAGGAAAGGTATTTTTTCTGTGCAGAGCTAAATGCAATAATTGTTTTTGTATGATTTAGTGCTAGCAACAATTTCTATTGTAAATTATTTATTTTAGTTGATCTTGTTACATGGGTGGTCATCTGTTCACTTCAGACATTGTAATTTATTTTTAAGAGATATTTTAAAATACAGTACTCCTAGAACAAGTGGTAATTGATGTGACTTGGTTTACTTCTGAATGCAGGTACCAAAACTGCAAAAGTGATATACACAGATGATTTTTTCAAACTTTTATAGTTCTCATGTTCCAAGCCAGAGTGGTATAACCTCTGTATATAGAATACCTGCTAAGTGTACATTGCCTCCTAAAAATATTGAATAACTCTTGCTTAACATGAAATTTATTAATATAGATAAGAATTTTTGATGGATTCCGTTTTTTACAGATGTGAGTAACTGGGCATTCTCATAATATAGTTTAAATAAACTGCATATTGTAAAAGAAATGTTTTGTTCAAGTTCGGCTGTATATTAAAACAAACAATAAAACCACAGTCACCAGAAACCTCTTAAATATTTTCACAGCAGATTGGGTCAGCAGATATTCCATGGAAACCTCTAACAAATGAACCCTAATCAAGAAGCTAGTGCCTTAAAGTGCTTGTGCTGAACTAGTCAAAAGTTAATTAGACTCTTATTTTGTGTAAAGTATGTGGAAAGGCTTCTATTTTTTTGTTAGAGTTTGAGGGGGTTTTGGTTGTTTTTTGTGGTTTCTGTTGGGGTTATTTGGGTTTTTTGTTTGTTTGTTTTTTTTAATGCAGGTTCCCTCCTCTTTATTTAGGGTCTACACTCAAAAGATAAGTGAAGAGTCTAGATTCTTCCTCCTGCCTATGACTTGTAAGCAATAGATAGAAGTTGTTACCAGTGCAATATCCTGCTAGTGACAACTATTGTGAGCTGTCAGGGAGTACTTCAGCACTTTTTTGGAATGAGTCTTGTCTGAGCCTTTGGAATCTTTACAGCATTCAGCTGTGGTTTTGGGGGTAGTGTTTATTTGTTTTGTTGGGAGTTTTGTTTGGATTTTGTTTTGGTTTGTTTTTGTTCGGTGTGATACAGTTACCCCAGGGACTGGTCACTCCAGAGGGGTTGCTAGTCTTCCCTTAGAGTTTAGTAAGGTTCCCATAAGGTCTTGATTAATACCCCATCAGCATCTTTGCTTGTACCTCACTGCAGTAAGCAAGGAGCTATTTATTACTGGTAAAATGATCTGGTGAGGCCATGACTCAAGGATGGTGCTTGTAGCAATACTGACTCTTTTTAAAGCCTATCTCACTTAAATACTGACTTAATGACTTTGACCCAGAGATAGAAGATGCCTTTCTGCACATCAGCTTACTTGGATCTAGTTTTATGCTAGTAATTAGGGGAGAAATATCAGAGCTTTGGCAGTTTGAGGCTATAGATCTAGAAAGCCAGGCAAAAGGAGAACCTTCATTGACACTTTTAACTGAGGTTTCCTTCACAGTTCCTGTGTGTATTCCATTTATATTTGAACAGGTTTTTCAGGAAAAATACTTGATATTGCTATCACAGCTGCTTGAAAGTGCCTTGAAATTGACAGAGTAATGATATTCCAGTTCCAGGATGCCTTGCTATTAAAACTGTCGGTCCTCTTTGGAACCCCATGAATATCAGACCTCTGCAGTGTGCAGACCCACTGTGCAGGCTACGTCGTGGCTTAGTAAAAGCAGTCTTATTGAGGATGCCCAGTCCCAGACTGAGATTTTCCTATATTCAGGGGAGGCTACGTAGGAGACTGTGCCCTCCTTATGTAATTACAACTGAAGCTACTCCTTGGTTAGCTTTCAGCTTCATGAAGGTATGATCAAGAAGTAATTCTGGTTTCTGTCTAATGTAGAGCTCACTACCTGTGTAAGAAAAGGTCAGATCTCTTCTAACTTGGCTTAAAGTTCTCCCACATGGAGAGATACAGGTTTTAGCTTTGACAATGCTAGATGCAGTCTACCAATCCTTTTTCCTTTAGCCAGAACAGAAATTCAAAATTCATGGGTGGACACACCAGGTGAGTTTGGAACTGGAAGCTTTGCTGAAAATAATCAATTAACCCAGGTTTAATCTTAACACTTGCTAATTGTATCTAGTCTTTCAGACATTTCGGCTGCATAGAAATAAGATGATGGCAAAGCCAGAGCGAGTTATGAGAAGTTTTAGGATTTACAAATGTTAAACCAAACTAATCGAGACAAATCAAAAGTTTTTTATTTAGTGTAAAGTCAGAAATACAACATCTTTAAAACGTTAATAAGTTAAATGAAGGCCACAGTACTGGGATGTAAATGGTACATAGATGAAATGGCTACTATATACACACTGATGAATTAAAATATCGCTATCCAATCTTACAATACAAAACCATGATTTTAAGATTACTTGATCTCGGGAAATTACTGCGTTCTAACAAGTACATGCTGTTACCACTTAATCCCCTGCAGTGCAGATGGAGATGTGCAGTGATGTGGCTTTAAAGCTGGGATGGCTGTAATACAATACAGTCTTAAGAAGTCAAGTGCTTGGTGTGTGTAGTGGTTTGTTTGTTTGGTTGGTTGGTTGGTTTTTTTTGGTTGGGTTTTTTTTTGTTTTTTTTTTTTGTTTGTTTGTTTTGGTTTGGTTTTTTTTGTTGTTTATGTTCCAACCCTGGAGTAACCATGGGATCTACTCTACCTGCTATCAATTCTTGGATGAAGTTCCAGTGAGAAAGTCTGTATAAGATTAAAAATACTTCTGGATGTTTACAGGTTGTGATGACACAAATGGTGGCAGCCACTTGTGCCTTGGGGTAAAACTTTTCTCCATCATATTTCTTGACTTAGACTTGCAATCAGCCCTCAAGACTGAACTATTAGTGCTCTGTTTGCACTCATTTGACTTTGCTGACAGTGAGTACTGTACAGCCATCTTAAATGGGGAGAAATGGGAAACCCCTCCTTTGGGAGGGGGACCTCAATGTCAGCTTACACTCGAGACACAGCAGTGCTTAGCTGTCAAGAAACTTGGGGTTTGAGAGGGATTTATTCTACTATTAGATATACTCATTCCATTCCTACAGCTTTATTTCATAAAATTAATCACAGCAAGGTCGGAAGAGATCCTTCAGTGGTTTGCTTTTGTTAAAAGTACCACGGCTTTGTTACTGAAGAGGCAGAGCTCAGTTCTAGGTAACTCCCATAAGTAACATCTGCAATGCTGCTGTATGGCAAGATTAAACATGCAACTGAGTACTGATAAAATGTGTATCATTGTTTGTATTTCAGCCTCTGCTCTCCATTAATACTGATTACGCTAGATGTGCTGCTTCTATAAGAAGTGTTCAGAGCCACAATCTGGGCCAAGCTCCTCTACCAAACCTGCTAACAAACTGGCAAGCCAGTAAAAAACAGGGCACCTTGACACTAGGCTTTGCTCAGAGCAGCACAAGTCTGAGCAGCAAAAGCTACCTTTGTTCCACTGCAGTCTTCTGCCTTAGATACCTGGTTTTTGTGCTGTGCCTCAAGAGGTACTTCACAAGCTCAGGCTCTGGGGCAGGAAAACAGTTGCTCTAAGGCCTGAAGCAAAGACAAGTTTTGGCACTTCAGAAGGAAGATAAAAGGTGGGAAGGAAAGACTTGTGCTTAGTTCCTCACTGCACATTGTTCTGCAGCTGTTGACCTTCTGTTTCTGTGAAGTACATTACTTGGGTTTTTATTTAACTCTTCATCACACAACTAGAAGACTTCAGGAGGATCATGATGCTGCGCCTGATCATTCTTTGAGAAAACAGGAAAGTTGAAATGGTTTGAAGTGTGCATCTTGCAAACTACAAACACTCTGATGCTGCCTCAGTTTGGTATTTCCCTGATTTAAGTTGCTTATCTTTGTTCCTCTTCTCTTACCCACCTTCCCAAAAAATCTTAAGTATTTTTCTGTATGCAAGCCTTGCAAATAGTATCATACTGGTATTCCTTCACAGAAATTCTTAACTGGTTTATAGGTTTTTGTTTAAAGTTGCTTTGCAGATCTAACCTAAATATATTTAAGGTGGAAAAGGTGATGCAATGAGACTTCGAAGATTTTTATCAAATGAGGTTTCAATACAATGTAACTGTATTATCTTGCTAGTTGAGAACACTACCCTAAGACCTCAAAGAGTGCCAACAGACATCTGTTTAACCTGACAAACTGAATCCAGTTTTTAACAAGATATGCTCATTTTTAAAACAAATACGAAAGTTTAGTGAGTCTCTACACTACATGTGCACATTGCTTAATCTTAATAATACACAAACTTATTTCTCCTGTTCATGATAATGTTCTTCATTGTGTTTTATCACCAAAGGTTTTCATCTTCAGGTATCCAGTAAAGCCACAAACTAAGGTATTTCAGCTCATGTAGCCTATGTCAATTAAAACAAAAAAAAAAAAAAATAAAGCAGCAAGTACAATGACATCATCTGTAAGTCAACCCTTACTTCCTTTTGCTTTTTGTGTCAGTCGTTTGGAAAACACTAGATGCTGACATCAGATTTTCTATATACTGTCCAAGAACTTGGTTTTCTGATTTCAGTTTCAAGTTTTCTTCCTTAACAGCATCTACTCGTGCTGAGAGATCTGCAAAGGCGACAGTATAAGAAATATATTAGATGCTGTTGCATACAATGAGCATGTCATATGTGCCTACATAAAGCTATTCACACTTTAACTGTGAGAAACACTAGCATAAGGTATTATCTTGTGCTACTTGCAAGTTTTCGCTGAAGCCCACTTCTTCTGTATCATTTTGTAGTCCAGTATTGTGACAAGCTTGATAACCTTACTGCTCTTCTCTACTTTCATTCTTTTCTTGAATTTTTGAGTTAAGCTGCTGCAAGCTGAACTACCCAGACACAAACAGTTCACGTAGGAGCAGACTCAAAGACATGTGTCAACTAAGGAGGTTCGGAAAGTTTACCTGTATTGCCCCTTCTGCTTCATGTGTATTATGAGAGTTAAGCAAATGTAATATTGTATAAAAAGGAAAAAACAATAAAGTCTTTCTGAGACCTTGCTCCTGTATCGTCACTTGGGTAAGTGAGATACGCCTGGGTACTCTCGCTAAGGTAGGGCAGAACAGCAAGGTTCTCTTCTGCTTATTTGTGTGTGCTTGTAAAAAAATCTCATATGTCAAACTGCTAACCTTCAAGTGTGTGCTGCAGTTCCAACACTTGATTAATAAGCCGTGTTTTCTCTTCTAATTCCACCTGATTCTCAGCCTCAACAGCTGCAATAAATCATACGAGTTTTAGTGCGACCTCTGTAGCAGTTGGAAATGAAATATTAAATAGAAAAAACAACAACGAAGAAAAAGCAGTAAGATACCATCCATGTCAGCATTCATCATTGTAGGGTGTGCTCTTTCCACTTTTGAAGGGAGTATTCTTGAGAGATGATCTGCTTAAGAGGAAAAAAATAACACTGAGCAACTGTTAATGGACCTGCCTTTATATTTGGATTTTTCCATGCATTTTTCTAACTGGTGTTGAAAAGCTACCACTTAACCTTAAACCAGAACAACATCTTTTAATATTTTTTTTTTTGAGCCTTATATATAATTCTTGAAGTACCTGTGCTTCAGTTCACAAGAATACCTGTTCTAGATGTACTGATGCACTCTCTCGTGCACCCATAACCCTGTGTTTCAATGATGTAATTGCCGCTTTCCCGGCACCGATCTTTCTGGAATTGGCCGTTACGGACGCACAGGATCAGGAGCGCCCCTTCACCACCACCACCCCCCCCCGCTCCATTCCCACTGTCACAGACAGGCGTGTCGCGGAGACCGGGCGGGCCTGCCGGACGCGGGGCCCTTGCGCCTCATCCGCAGCCCTGCCCTTCGCTGGAGCGCGGAACGAGAAC